ACCGATCGCCACATCGCCATGGGCGAAAACTGTTCTGGATTGGCAAAAAAAAAATCAACCGCTTTAGCCATTTTGACAAAAGCCTTAAAATTTAAAAAAGTTTTAAATACTTGCTAAAATACATCATTTTTTTCATTTGAGATCCATTTTTCGCTAACTCCATGCCGTGGATTTATTAGAAACCACCCCTTTCCCTTTTTTTTTGGAAGGTAAAAAAAGATATAATTGATTTTATTTTAGTTTATTTTTAGGCGTTTTTGGGAGAGAAAATTACTGTTGGACCCCCTAGAGTATCATAGTTTCGATCGCCACATCCTCCCCCTCCCCACCCCCGTTCTACATCTCTGGATCTGCCCCGGCAGGACTCTAGTCGGCCCATTGGTTTGGACTCCTCTGTCGAACATGTTGGACACCATGTTCTGTCAGCAAGTTTTGGCTAATGATTTTTAACAATTTTCGTCAAATTTTGGCTAAAGACAGCTTCAAGTTGCTAAAAAAAAAAATATGTCAGAGTGAGCCCAGCTACCTCTTTAAGATCTACCCTCTAAAATTTACCGTATACCTACCAGTATTAGGCCATGTAAAAAAAAAGAGTTGTTGATAGTTATGGAAGGAGGTTTTCTTTTTTTTTTTTTAAATCAGTAATGAAACCACTCCATTGATACATGCCAAGTTTTCAAATCCCACATGGAGTGCAAGGCCTCGTGTACATGGTGGCTAACTTTAACAGATCTTCTAATGTAGTGTTTGATGAGGTGGAATTTAAACGAACAAATAAAAGACAAAATAATTACACACAAGGCTTAGGTCTAGCTAAAGTTGAATTATGGGTGGAAAGACGATATTTCTTGTAAGTTTTGGCAAAATTTTGTAGAAAAAAAAAACCAAAATTGGTCGGGTGATTTTTGTAAAATGTAGGTAGGGGACAAATAACAACTTATTTTTTTTACATGGGTTCTTCCTGAACATGAACTTAACATGAACTAGTTGTATTTAAACATTAAGTCATACTGGAATATTTTCATTTTAACATATGTTTTCTAATTAGCTATAAGTGTGTGGAAATAAAAGTGAATTGAATTGAGTTAAATATTCCATATTCCTTTAAATATTTCTAAGAATTGGAGGCTAATAGATTTTCCTAGAAACAGTATTTCATGAATATTACCATGAAATCAGGTGTTCGATAACTTAATAGGAACCCTATGGTGAATTTAGGCGTTAATAACATTCTGTACTTTAGTTATGGAGCAGAGTAATAGAATTAATACCTTATACTCTTAAACTTTGTTTAGAAGTTATCAAATTTTATTTGAAAAAAAAGTGTGCGACAGTGCCTAATTGTGGTCATGATTACATCACATCATGGCCATATATAGGCACATCATGACTATATATGGGCATACACCAGTTTTTAAAAATTTAAACAAGTTTATGGATTCAGTCACTGATCTATACCTATTAAAAAGTTTAAGGATTCAGTCACTGATCTATACCTATTAAAAGTTTTTTTTAAATTTTTTTTTTAAATGCCCTTTATTTATTATTTTTGTTGGAGGGGAGGTGTAGTTATGGGAAGACTTAAATTGATGAATGGATAAAGACTGATGAACGTTAGGTGGAGATGATTTTAAATCACATGTGCCTTGGTGAAGAAACACTTTAACTAAGATTTAATTTTATCATTTATTTTATAAATTATACTTCATAAAGTAAAACATTATACACTTCCTTTTATAAGAATACAGGCTGAAATTGCTAATAATAAATTAAAAACAAAATAAGAACAAATGGAGGCTGAGGTAAAATGGCCTTCTTTCTTGGGCCATTTTTTGCAGGGCCTTTTTTCTCAGGGGCCATTTTTGCCAGTGCCATTTTTATCTACATTCTAGCATAGTATTATACTTCTGTACTATAATAATTTTCTATGTTTGAAAAACTGTGTAAAATAAGAACAAAGTAAGAACATTTTGAGCCTGAAATCGGCCAAAAATAAGAACACTGAGCCTGGGCAAAATTTTACTGGTTCTTATAAAATAAAAAAAGTGTATTTAAATATTTTTCAAGTGTATTTAAATATTTTATAATAAATAGGCCTACTTCTTACAAGTAAATAAAAAAATTAAGGAACTCACCAAAATTATTAGAAATGAGAAGATGGTTGCTAAGAATATTAATAATATATACTGGTATATCATTTAATTTTATTTTTTGTTCATATTTTCTGTTAAAAATTGAGATGTTGCTACAATTAATATAGGAAGTCCTTTTGACATTTGTGGGTTGTACTCTGCTTACATCAGTCAACCTCAATCAATCAAGCCATTGGTTATGTTTAGCTTGTAATTTATTGTGTTGTCATTTTAGCGGCTTAAAGCAACATAATGCATACTGTGTGTCGTAACCCATCAGTCAGTCATCAAATTATTTTGGTGAGTTGCAAACCCTTAAGAGAAAACCTGAAAATCAGCTATTTCAATTCTGCCTCTTAATGTTATAGGTATTATGATAAGGCACTATAAAAAATATTATTAGTTTATCACCCTATCTGGGCAGGAAAAGTGATGAGGGAGGGAGGCTTTTTTTTTAATTTTTTATTTTGCAGAAGCTAAATATAACCCTTGGTTTGTTTGCTGGTGCATTGATATTCAAAGTAAAACATGATTTAGATAATGCAAACAATATCTACTAACTATTTAATAAAATAAACTAAAAAAATATTTAAATAAAATTTTAAAAATTAAAAAAAAAAAATTTTTTTATTTGTTTTTTTTCAAAACAATTTTTTCCCCCCAGTACCATAGAAGGCATCCGTGCGAAGGTGATAAACTAATAATTTTTTTTATTGGGCCTAATTAATGATCCTCTTCACAAGCGGATCACCTTGTTATTATAAGGTTTATCTTCTTTTTATTCCTCTTTCTTTCTGGCAATATTTGTTAGCATGATATCTACGCACAATTTTGCGTTTTTACATTATCGATCATATCTTCCTAACCAATTGTCATTTCTAAATCATATTCAGTGGGCATAAACTTGAGGTTAAGGTTGAATGTCACCTACCAAAATATTACGTGTGTGCATGTCACGACGTGCGAGCACACGTGCGTCAACATTGTAAAATGCTCAAAATCACTTTTTGACTAAATAAGAGCACTTTTTAGGCCATTTTGAGCAATTTAAAATTTTTTTGAAATTTTTCACTACGTGTGCACATTTTTACGTGCGCAGCACACACGGAAGCTAGAAATTACGTTTTTTACATATTTTGGATTCCTGACATTGTATTCACAAATTTCCATTCTTTTCAGTCATCTTAGGGCCAATAGCAGTGCCGTATATGGGCATCAAACATAGGAATCCTTGCGTGTGTTTGTGCTGACACAGTAAAAATATGCTAAAATCAGACCTATATTTAATCAGTTATAGGTTCATAGGATGTAAGGTCACCCCCACATTCTATTACATATTCTGGGAAAGCACATGAGTTGTAGATATGATTTTATAGATCATAATGGCTGATTGAACATTATGACGTCATTATATTGCCATCTGCATTTTTAAAAAAACTTAATTTTATCTATGACCTAATTTTTGAAAATCGCATTTGAGCGTATCTTGTTTATCCTTGATCAGTGGCAGCCCATCAAGGCAAGCAAGGTATGCAGTGCTATCACACTGTAATGTTTTTCATGTATACCATAGGCTTAGCCAGCGCATCGTCCGGCCATCTTTTGGACGGCCAACAGTTATTTAGGACGTTCACTTTTACCGTGACGGCTTGGACGGCTTGGCCTAATTAGCTCGGCCTAGCCTAATTGGGGCGCTGTTCTACCTTTAGCAAATTCATTATATTCTTCAAATCTATCGAATGTTACACTAAACTAAAGCTACCGGTAAATTATATTTATGTTTGCTAAAAACAACATTTATTGATTGAATGTACGTTGTTTTCATACCAATATTCGGTTCCCAAAAATATAAGGCTTAACCATTGCCCGGTGAAAAGTTCACTTACAACACACGTGGTGTTAAAAACATTTATACCCTGCTGAAAAATAGAAGGTTCTGAGTTGCCCACAACGCATGCACATGGCTCTGCCGCTCTGTGAATACAATTGAGATTTGGTTCCCCGACAATTGTTGGTGTTCGTAACTCTCAGGTTATAATTGATTCATGAAATATCGTAAAGAAGGTTTGTTGTTAACCTCACAAGTTAAATTTTATTAGTCAACAAAATACTGTAGGGCTAGGCCTATCTCTCAATTCGGAGGACCTAGAGTAGAAGTTACACTAGACTGAGGTGAGAGAGGAAGATGCTCTGCATAGTCTAGGAATACCGTAGGCATGCGCAATCTGTTTATCTTTGTGATAGCTACAGTAATTTAACACAATTCCTTTGAAGACAAAATTCCAACATTTAAACCTCTTTAAATGCCCTCTAAAGATCATAATATTCTATTTCTTTTCTTATGTTTGGGAGGAGGGCGTGGCCCGCCCATCAGCTCAGGTCAATGCCCACTTGCTTCCATTTTGGACGGCCTATTTCATTTTTCTGGCTAAGCCCCTGATGTATACCCAATTTAGGTCACATGACTGCCTGTAACCAATCATCGCTAAATCCCTCTATTGCATGTGTGGTTGAGGGTCAATGGGGTGTGATTCATGTCTGAATTTCAAACTGGGTCGTTGGTGTAAAATTTGTGGAACACTGATTTAAAGTATACCAAATTTGTACATTTATTTTGTTTCTGTACGTATTTCTTGGTGTATGTAGGCCTATTTTTCTTGGAATGTTGAGTAAATATTATTGTTATTAAATCGATCAATCAATTAATATTTATAGATTATTTTAATTTTCAAACCATCTTTTCAGCAATGGCATGCATTACCAGCACAAATCAGAAAACTAAAGCTATTTAAATTAGACAGCTCTGCTTTGACCTTTGAACTGGTTACTAGGAAATCCTGATGGTGCAGGATAGATAGAAAGGTTGCAGTGTTGCAAAAAGTATTGTAGTGTGCGACAATCAGTGGGAAAGTGTGCATGGTTCTTGCGCTTATTAGAGAAAGCTACAAACTTATGCAAGGATATCAATATGCTTAAACAATGGTACAGTAATAATAATGCTTCATAAACAATAGGAAGAAGATTTATCTGACAGTGAATCATCAAAACAAGATATTTTCCGGTGAGTGCAGACTGGAAGATTGTTTTTATTACCTGTATTCCCTTCAAGTTCAAACCTCTTGATCCATAAGGTGCTAGCTATGTAGGGAATGCGAGGAACTTGTCTCGGGTATCTTCAGGTATGCAATTCTTGTACCTACACTGCACTTAGTTTTGTTTTTAGCTTAAGGTCAGACTACATGTGAAGGTTATTCATTTTGGATCAGCCTAGGAATCGCCCCGGGTTGATAGCTACAGCATAAGGGATACAGTATATCCAGACAACATTCAACAAGTATTTTTCTTATTATATAAAAGGAGTTTCTATATTTTTACCAAGGTAGAGTACAAGTGGTCTTATATTTGTTTTTAGCTTAAGGTCAGGCTACAAGTATAGGTTATTTTGGTTCAGCCCAGAAATCACCCAGGGTGATACAATGAAAGATATTTTATATCCAGACGACATTCAACAAGTATTTTTTTAATGTAAAGAATTTCCTATATTTTAGGTAGAGTACATTATTTTTTTTGTGTAATTTTCAGTTTACCTTGATTATTGGTTTATACATTTTTTTTTATAGGAACACGTTTTATAAGAACACTGAGACTGAAATTGAAAGCACAAAATAAAAACAAATTGAGGCTGAGGTAAAATGTCAAATGAGATTTCTATTTTTTTTAAAAACCAACAAATCTTATCTGTACCTTATTTTCAGAATGTGGGAATATAAAATACACTCTATAATACACAGTACTGTAACACTGCTTTACAATAATAATTTTATATGTTTGAAAAGTGTCTAAAAATAAGAACAAAATAGGAACATTTTGAGCCTGAAATCGGCAAAAAAAAATAAGAACAGTGAGCCTGGGAAAAAATTTAATGGTTCTTATAAAAAACACAAAAAAAAGCAGTGTAGTCAGCAATAATAACTTCTGTTGAATAATAGAGACTTCAATTTATTGAGTGTGATGATTCATATAGGAACTACAGTTATTGTTTCAGTTCAGGGTGTTGGTTCGTATTCAGTAATATACACCGTTACTTTATTGTGTGTGATTCATACGTTACATGGAGGGAACGTATTGTTATAATGCATAATCAATTTTAGTCGCGTTATTTCATTTATTATTATTTCGTTATTTCATTTATTATTATTTCTGGTATATTTATTCCATAAAATCTTACATGCAAAACAGTGTATTGCTGCATCATGCATGTGATGAATTGAGAGACTAAATATGAAATTACAAAAATAATAATTATTTTAAAATATGCAATTAAAAGAATTAAATACTAAAAATTACATAGGAAACGATGTCAAAAATTACAAAGACAAAAGTTCCGTAAGAAAATTGATTAATATAAATTACTATATGATACAATTTTTTTAAACAATTTTCAATTGAAGATGTTATAAAATGCATTTAAAATGTTGTTCTTATATGGCAAATTTTTAAAAAATTATAGAGGCAGAATTATCTTGAAATTTTCTTTTTTGTTGATCCAATATATTATAAGAGAAAAATATAATTTACTCGCACACTACGTTTCATGAACCATTTGTTTGCCTTTTAAAGTAGACTGGCGATGTTACATTCGATTCGCAAAACGTAATACGACTATTAAATGATATGATTCTCTTATATTGTATCAACAAAAAATTAATTTTGAAATTCAGAAGATGGACATAAAAAGAAAGGGGGAAAAAAGAGAAAATGACTAAACATTAAAAAAAATCAAGATAATTTAAATATACATTTGGATCTAAATTATATTATTTGAAGATACAGAAAAACCAGATATGTAAAAATATACATTAAAAAAATATAATTTATAAAATGCAATATTTGCAAGCATTCAAATTACCTTGTTACTGCAATTAGTAGATTGCATTTACGATACAACATTTACTTATCCGCAAAAAATTATAGTGTTTTATAGCAAGTTTAATTTATAATGTATGCTTCGTACCATATAGGAGACTGTATTGTAAGAATGCATAATTGATGTCAGTAAATATTTGCCAGCTATCATACATGCTTGGAATTGTAATTGGTTGTTGTACATTTGCTACATTACCATAGTTTCGTTCTAGCTGAAAATCTATCCCCTTAATAGGGGTGTCTCAAAGGAGGGGGTTCTACTGTATGCGTTTAGGGCCATATAGAGGTGCCATATTCTTAGCAGATACAGATACGGATAAACTTTATTTCATCCTTTTCATCAGAAATTACACATGGTCGAAAGATGTTTCGTGTTCTCAAAGACATGATGCAAATATTTTTTGTTCGAAATACAAGTAATTTTAATTTCAATAATTCTATAATTCGAGTGCCTATCTTTGAAGATTTGCATTAAAGTTTTCTGATTCCTCTAGGAATGAAAGAATCTTGATTAGCGCGAGCCGTTGCCAACTGTATTCTACCGCTCTGTTCAATAAAATTAACAATTAAAGAGTGGAGAGGATGAGAAGGATCTCTTAGAATCCTATCAAACTCAAATGCCACCCTGCCACTGTAGACGGAGCCCACCCACGGCACACACTGGCCCACTATTCATTCTGCTTTATTGATAATGTTGTTAAGGCTGTCCATATATTAAAGCGCAAGGCACTAAAAATTATAGAATTTTAGAAAATGACTAAGATATCTTTATAATTGACCCCAAAAAATTAAGTATATTATGTGAGAATTTAGGTTTTTTTTATTTTAATGTGGTTAATGTGGTCCCCCTATGAGGTATAAACATCCACAGCTATGGTGGGATTGAGATACTGTAGTGTAGACTGAAGCTTCCACTGTGTCCCACATTTTGTTTTCCATAATAACCTTGGCAGGTCTGGAATAATAACCAGCAGATGTGTACTACCCTGGATATAGAATAATTCACTTTGTTGACAATCATAAACAGAACAATGGCCTTCCAACAAATCACACTACAACTCACAGCAATGAAAGAAATCAACAATATTTACATGTTTATTCTTGGCATTAGTTTTGTTGTTAACATACAAAGAATAATTCAACTAGAAATTGATAGGGTAGCAACTAACTGTATAGAAGCAGTGGTGTATATAGGGGTGCGCGAGGGGTGCACATTCCCCAAAAAATGTTTGTTTCCCCTCCCCCATATTTATCCCTCGACTGGAAACCTTTGAAGCAAAAAAATTATTTTCAATAAATTAAAGTCTCATATCACATTATTTTACGAACTAACACCCCTCACTTAATCATCAAGCTCTCCCACTTCACCTTTGTTCCCACATTAGCACCCTCCCATTAGCTCTCCCTCCCATTACCCCCCTCTCCACTTAGCGCCCCCTCTCCACTTAGCTCCCCCTCCCCAGTCTCCTAGATATGCCACTGTATACAAGATATTTTATATGTTAATGTGTAATGCTTGTAATTTAGGTCTTCGATGTATATAGAGTAGGCCTATATAGAAACCTTTTAAGAACAAATATAGTAATTAGAAAATAAGTAATACCCAAGGGTTTCCTCATGTATAAGCCCACCTCAGGTATAAGCGCATCCCCCTCCCCCTCTTCTTTATGCCCAATTTTACACACATACCTTTCCTCTTGCAAAAGCCTGGGGTACGATTTGAAAGAGTAATCTTGATTCAGATCTTTCCAAAAAATATACATTCAAATGTGAATAATATACTGTAACCAGATAGGTACAGAAAAAGGAAACAATTTGGTGTTTTACCAGGAATTTTAGTTGAGTGAAACTATCAAGGATGACTTAATGTCAGTCTTTAACCATAGTTTGATAACCTTAGCCTGCATTGGAGCGACAGAAGTGTATGTCAGTATAAAATACAATATATCAATATAAAATAAGTATGTCAGTATAAAATAAGGGTACAGTGCTGAATAATTGCTTTCTAATTGGAGAGCAGATTCACCAGGTAATAACCCCACCCCTTAAAATTCATCTTAGTACTAAAGGTCTGCCTGTATTGTGTACAGTTGAGTACAGAGTAATCTTGATTCAGATCTTTCCAAAAATATGCATTCAAATGTGAATAATATAATCAGGTAGGTACAGAAAAAGGAAACAATTTGGCGTTTTACCAGGAATTTTAGTTGAGTGAAACTACCAAGGATGACTTAATGTCAGTCTTTAACCATAGTTTGAAACCTTTTCCTGCATTGTAGTGACAGAAGTGTATGTCAGTATAAAATACTGTATTAAGTAATGTTTAATGTCTGTTGATAAGTGTTAAAACCCTGGGCTCCTTCTTGTGATTAGCTAGCCTTGTTTTGGTGACATATTGTTAGTCTTTTAACCATAGTTTAACCTATATCCTGCATTGTTGAAATGCCATATATGTACAGCATAGCATACAGTACTGTAATTTAATTAATGGTTCTATGCCTGTTAAAAAGTGTTAATATCCTGAGCTCCTGTCTTATGATTGGCTAGCCTTATTTTGACTACCTATTTGATTTCATCATAATCATTCACTATATTCAGCCAAAAAATTATATAATAAAAAAATATATATAATAAAATCAATTTAGAGGTGACAAGAAAAGTAAACTAAACAATAGCCCATAGATGCGACAATCCAAACTAAGAAATTGACAGTAATAGTCATTTAAGAAAAAGTTATTTTAAAATTTTATTGACAGCACCTTAAGCAGAAAAAAAAAGAGAAGACAATATAAAGGAATCATTGCAAAGTCAAGAAAAGTACTAAAAAGTTACAATTCACAACAAATTCACTCAATATAGAAATAAATAAAATGAGAAAAATCTCAGAATAAAATTTCATCATTAAAATTACACAGAAAAAGACCCTGGAAACACCTCATGCAAATCGATACAATAATATAAAAAAAAAAAATTACCGGTCAAAAAAAAAATTAAGTTTATTTGTGACCGCCTCTGACAAGAACAGTCTTTTGTAGGAAAAATACAAAATTAGGTTTTTGGTGTTTTTAGATTTTGCATGGAATCGTCTTTAAAATGTAGTGTTTATTTGATGAAAATTGGTTGATTATTTATGAATAAGATAAGTTATGAATATTTGATTCATTGGATAACAGCCATGTAGGTTTGAGAAAACAACTTCAAAAGATTCAAAAATCAATAGTTTATAATTAAGATTTGTATTTTAAAAATCATT